TTTTATAACCCCCCATAAAATTCCGATTAATTTTAAATACGAAAATAACGATATTTTTTTATGGAGATTTATTTTTTTAATATACCTTGTTTATACCTACACAAAAACCGGATTAGCAAAAAACCGATTGGACTCAACATATATTTCTTTACAGCATTTATCCCCCTGTCTTTATAGCGCACTCGATAAAGTCTTATTCAAAAGTAAACAAAATTGCTATTTTTAAAGGACATTTTTTTAATAAATAATTTGCGCTGTTGACCGAAATGGAAACAAACAATAATTGTAATTTATTATAACAATAATACGAATTTAAAACGGGCTGTATAAAGAAAACCAGCCTATTGTCACTTCACTTTCCAATGGTGCTGATTGCTGCAAGAATTATTTAGCGATTTAGAGCATAATCAACACAATATATGCACATAAATATGTATTATTTCACAGATCTCAGGGTCAGCTTAGAAATACGTTACCAAAATTATATAAAATTTAAGTAGGAATTATTTTTAGTTATAACGTAAAAGCGCTATCTGACCCAATCTGATAAGTATATTTCCCCTAAAGTTAACCCATTTTATTTTATTTGTCTCTCGTGGAAATATATATTTTATTTACAATTTTCAGATATGTACATATATTTTAAATTTTTGCTTTAATTTTTGTCTCCTTTTAATATTTAATTAGATACCTTAAGATTAAAATAAGCTTAAAACGAAACAGCACAGCAACCCTTTTCTGTTCATCTTGAGAACACAAAACCCTCTTTTGTTAAAATTCGGCGCTGCACAAAATCCTGGCTTTTATATTTTCCAACAAAATACCACTTCGCAACCCTGGATTTTCACGAAGCGTTTCATTCGGGTCGTAGTTTGGCTACTTCGGGCCATTCGGTGTTGTATGCCATATTGGCTGCCATATTGTTCACACTGTCATCGCCATATTGAACACCCTGTCAACTATCTGTCAACCCTAAGATATCTCACTTGTATTCTTCCACAATGATCCGGAGTTGCGATAGGTCATTCATACAACTTTTTACGCGCTAATACTTCATTATGGTTATAAACATTTAACAATTGTCGTCACTTCCGTACCTTTTGAAAATTTTGTTCGAAGGCTTTTCAAAGGAACAGAAAAAACTGGGATTTATAACTCTTTAAGGGCTAATTTTTTAGTGCAC